TGCAAGATGTTAAGGGAGTTACTGCAAGATGTGAAGGGAGTCAGTGCAAGATGTGAAGGGAGTTAGTGCAAGATGTTAAAGGAGTCAGTGCAAGATGTGAAGGTAGTTACTGCAAGATGTTAGGGGAGTTAGTGCAAGATGTTAAAGGAGTTACTGCAAGATGTGAAGGAGTTACTGCAAGATGTTAAAGGAGTCAGTGCAAGATGATATGGGAGTTACTGCAAGATTTTATGGGAGTTGCAGGATGTTGTTGGAGTGAGTGCAATATGTTGTCGGAGTCCGTGCAAGATGTGAAGGAGTTACTTCAAGTTGTGAAGGGAGTTAGTGCAAGATGTGAAGGAGTTACTGCAAGATGATATGGGAGTTAGGGCAAGATGTTAAGGGAGTTAGTGCAAGATGTTGTTAAAGTTAGTGCAAGATGTTGTCGGAGTTAGTGCAGGATGTGTAGGGAGTTTGTGCAAGATGTGAGGGAGTGCAAGATGTTGTCGGAGTTAGTGCAAGATGAAAAGGGAGTTAATGCAAGATGTGAAGGGAGTTAGTGCAAGATGTGAAGGTAGTTAGTGCAAGATGTTAGGGGAGTCAGTGCAAGATTTTATTGGAGTTGCAGGATGTTGTTGGAGTGAGTGCAATTTATTAGAGTCACTATTATGAAAGTGTACCCTTCATCTGAACAACTTTCATACCACCACCACGCTGTATGTATTTATTGTTTGTTATGGAATGTACTTGGGCCTGTGACTTTTATACTGACTTAACCTCTTCTTCATCATCATCATCATCATCATCATCATCATCATCATCATCATCATCATCATCATCATCTTCTTCTTCAAAGGATCGAGGGCAGGAGATAGTTTGTTTGGGGTTATGTCCCACAGACAAAACTATTTCTGATTCGGATAATTTACATACTTAGATTCCAGCATGGGGAAATCCATAACCCAGTCATGTAGTGGCATACAAACAGACATGACTGTTTATTCCCTGACAGGCATTCCTTGTGTGGAACAGAATCGAGGGCAGCAGGTGGTTTGTTTCTGGTCATATCTGACACACAGATGTATGCCTTATTTGAAAAGCACATGCCAAAATCCATAGCGATCTATTCAGAAACGACTGTTTAACGGCCTAAAATGTCATTTTAAGTGTAACTGCCATGTTTAAATATTGACAATACTTAAAGGCAAGAACACAAAAACATCTGGGACAAGTCCCACACTGTATCATCTAAATAATTCTAAATCAATTCCTTATCATAGTTGAAATGTCAACCTTTTTACAACTAGACTCACAAGGTGTGTACATCTCGTTCAAGCTGTGCAAGCTTTCATTAAAGTGACTGCATAAATGTACCTGCACTAGAGTGTAATTCTTTTAAAATAAGAAAACATCATTAAATACACAACCAAGGGCTCCAGGCGGTTTATTGGTTATCAAGTGCCTCACTTGTCCATCACCTTGATTGTTATAGGTACACCACATCGTGGTGATTAGTAAGACAACATGGGGGTGGGGTGGGGATCCAACGCATACCATTAGTAATTGGTCCCACAAGGGATGACGACACAACTAGCTCGTGAACTCTATTCACATACAGTATAATCGCGCGCACGCACACACACACACACACACACACACACACACACACACACACACACACACACTCTCTCTCTCTCTCTCTTCTCATTGAAAAGCACAAAAGCATATTTTGGTGATTTTGGAAATGATATTTAATTCTGGAATGACACCAGAAAGAAAGTCCAAATTGTACACAGTCTTCAGTTGAACCAAGCCTGTGTCAGGTGAAGGTAACAAGGACATGGTCACCGGTTATCAATAACGTGTATGTCCACCCAGAGCATCGAGACCTGCCTGACACCTTCTTCCCATGGACGCAATCAAAGATAATGATAATGCAATGGTAACATCAACTACGGGCAGCCTTCCACCAAACAACGGTAAGGCAGACGTCTCCAGACTGCAGAAAGACTTCATCACTTGGTGATCCCTAGTATAGTGATCTACCTTCAGTGTGTGGATGGGGTTGTTGTTGTCGTAGTCGTCTCTCGAGGTCGTCTCACGAATGTTCGATTGGCTTAAACCTGACGATCTGTTTCTTCCTTTCCGGACTTATGGAGGAGTGGACACTTCGTTTTTAGCCAGATAAAGGTTTATTAATACCAGATGTCAAACTAAGCTTTATTGGAAACGTTTCCAAAGAGGATGACGAACCACCATCAACACCAAAGATAACCTTATCAATAATATAACTTTGATAAGTGTGTATTCTCCAACAAATCATCTCGTTACATCGAGGTTTTCACAAAGCCTGACTGTAGTGACAGTCACAATGATGAGTGTGAGTGAGTTAATATTGATCGTCACATCCGCAATATTTCCGCCCTATCGTGACGAGAACAATTAATTATTGCATTACAGAACAATAAAAGTAGAAATTAAAAGTCTGTTGACGAAGAACAGTACAACTACCAGTGTATCACAGATATTCAAGTAAACCAAGCATGTCATAAAACGATACTTTTAAAGAGAACAATACAATACAAAACCAGGCTATGGATTGCCAACAACAGAAGGTAGATCACCATACTAGGGACCACAAAGTGAAGAAGTCTTTCTGCAGTCTGGAGACGCCTGCCTTGCTGTTGTTTGGTGGATGGCTGCCCACCATATGTGTATCACTGGATGGCTGATCCAAACATCTGGTACTGACTCAGTGTCCTGCTGATCACACTTTGGCTGATCCCAGAGACGTTTGCAAAGTGACGTATTGTAGACCCACATTCAAGCAAACGTATGCATCTTCTATCATCTTTGATGCTGATGGGCCATACGTGCATTCAGTGACTCAATCCTTAGTTGCCAAAGTTGTAGTCCTCTGATAATGAAGTGCAAAGATTCTATCGACATGCATCCAAACAAACATTTTCAAGAACCTCGTGCACGTCATGTATCATGATGCTGAGTAAGTGAATTTAGTTTCATGCCGCTTTTAGCAAGAGGGGGACACCAGAAACCGGCGTCACTCATGTGGGGAATCGAACCCGGATCTTCGGCGCAACGAGTGAACGCTTTGGTGGCTACCCCACCTTCCCTCAAAAAGCTGAAGTCTTTCAAGTGTGACCCAATTATTATTCACTGGGATATTCCAGTGTTAATTTACTAGATGTATTTTTTCATATCACCAAAACCTATGTAAAATTTGATTGGTATAATTTCAACTATTGTTTCCTCCCGCTGCAATTTGTGGCTCAGCCAATATGAAACATGCGTTTCAACAGAACTCAGACATAGGGCCTACGAAAAATATTACTCGGTGTTGCGTATCACCCGTTGTTGTTTTAGCATTAACAACACATAAAAATAGGCATAAAACATATGATGTTACGAATAACGAATTTTACCACCGAAACAATGTATCTCCAATTTGGGGAAAATGTAAAATAGCGGTAATAATTATAGGAATCGGTCACTGTAAATCATTGTTGACACCAGGTGTTCGCGAACGGGAACGGTGTTTGCCTCAGATGAATTGACAAAAGTGTCCATTAACGGTAAGCTATTACGCTCATCATTTGCAAGCTGGGACCTTGTCAGTATACCACGTGTGAACTGTATGTAACTTAAGAATAGACAACTTTAGAAAAGGTGATGAGACAAGGTATTTGAGAAAAGTTGCTTGACGCTTTCGAACGTTAACTTGCATTAAAGTTTCCAAAGATTCGTTTTTGCGCTGTCCTTTCATCCATGCACACAAACCAGCCTAAAAATAGCCAAATTATAACAATCAAACGCAAATTTTGAAATTTCGTACATCAATACATCAATATCACGTATGCGTTTCCCCGTTTATTGTATTTAGTCTAGTCTAAAGTTACATACAGTCCTTGACTGTCAGACAATCAACCCAGAGAGTCTTCTTTGCAGGATGGCTTGCTGTGTAGTTGTGTATTGTCACAGTATGAGGACGAAGAATAATTTACTGACGGAAATACAAAACGAAATGTCAAGCATCCATCAGAACTCACACACTTTAGCAGCCTCAGGACGAGTCAAGATTACAGTTGATTGTGACAAATATCATGGGCATGTAAAATGATAAGGCCAAAAGAACACATAAAACTCGAAACTAAGGGTCCGACACGAGATCTTCGTGCCAAGGATCGGGAAATGTCAGCCTGCTGTGTGAGGAACACCTACAGTGATACGGGTCCTGAGAAACGTGATTCCAGGAATAAGGGCAATCGTGGATTCAAACACAGGACAAGCAGATTCTAGTAAATCGCCTCTGTGCATAATGTGTTGTGATTTCTTAGCTACCCTGTCACTGTATTTTTGTGTGGTACGGTTGGATTCTACAAAGTCAGTACACCTGCAGTTTTCCAATACACACATGCTTGCTGTTCGTGTGTGTGTGTCACAATACAATTGACCCATGAAGAAGCCCAGTTAGAATCGGTTTTCCTCAAACCGTGCTTGCGACTAACGGGATCGGGTGGTCAAGTTCGCTGACTTGGTTGACACATGTCATCGTATCCCAAATGCGTAGATGGATGGTAATGCTGTCGATCACTGGATTGTCTGGTCCAGACTCCATTCGTTCCAGACGGCAGCCATATACTCGTATTTGGAATATTGCTGAGTACGGCGTTAAACTACAAACCAACGTTAACAGAGACAATGTAATGCAACCACAACATCATGAGTTGCGTTCCCGACACTGCAACATCCCTCCTGTATCGAACCATGATATCACTGAGACGAGACCCTCTTCTTTCTTGTTTCCCCACCCTTGCCCCATACCCGGAAGACTTGTGCAGCTATTGTCACGTTCCACAATATGTAGCATAATATTGCCTTATAAGGAAGCTGTGGTTGGCTCCCGAGAAGTGCTTTGATCGGCGCACATAAATACAGCTGTGGAGGATGCAGAGTCATTCAGTCCCCAGCCGGCGTGCAACAAGGAACAATACTTGCTCCTACACTATTCTATCAAAATGTGTGACGACGAAGTTGCTGCGTTGGTTATCGACAACGGCTCCGGCATGTTTAAAGCCGGGTTCGCCGGTGATGATGCCCCAAGAGCTGTTTTCCCCTCCATCGTGGGTCGTCCCCATCACCAGGTATTACACTTAATTCTGCTAGTGTCATGTTGACATAGGACAATTTAACAATTTTGTTGGAAAGATATCAGTTAGGCTGTTTTATTCAAAACAGGGTTCGTTCAAAATTGATATTCATAAAGATTTACCTTTTATTCCTCCAAATTTGGAAATACTACTTAAAGCTAAAAACCGGCTTCTTCACCATAAGTATATTATAAACCAAAAACTGTTTTTTCAAAGTAAGTGAGAAAATGAACTGATTATAGATATCACACTTAATCTATGGAAAACACATAATTTTATACCATTTCGAGCATCTTATAGTGCTAGGAACAGATGGTTTCAATACAGTATTCTCCATAGGATCCTCACAACAAATTAAGATTTATACAAATACAAACTAACAGAATCACCACATCGTACATTTTGTGATGTTGAAATAGAATCGATCATTCATCTCCTATATGAATGCAAATATGTCAAAAAGCTGTGGTAAGATCTACTAGAATGGATAGAAAATGAAACAGACACCCATTTGGAATTAAACGCAGAAATCATTATTCTCGGCTTCAAAGAGAGAAGAAATGATGTACTGACTTTCATATTAACAATTACGTAACTTACATAACATTGTCGTCCTTACCACAATCTGTCTACATAGATAATGACTGTAATTGGACTTGCTATATAATGCAACAATTATACCGACCTGTTAAACGTGTATGAAAATTAAATGCTGTACCCAGATAATAAAAAAACAAACTAAAGGGATACAAAAATAAACTTTGTGATAAATTTGTATATATTTTTGTCTTTTATCATTCATTATGAATAAGGAAGAATACTATCATCGTCATAATGTTACATCACTATGTTATGCATATACATCACTGTGGAAACATGGTTCCGATAAAGATGTGGTGTTTTTTTCCGTTCGTACAGTAATATATTATATAATTGACAAGAAAGTATGAATGTTGCAATACAGCTTGCAATATAGCCACATATATTTCTTTCCAGGGTGCAGGACAGGAGGAAATCTACATCGGTGAATACTGCTAAAACCGGTGTAAAACTAATCTGACCAATATTGGGTGTTTTGTATTACTGAGACTTTTATAAGAAATCTTGTAGGAGAAAAGAGGTAATGGTACAGAAAATATTGTCTCATTTTTTACAGGGTGTGATGGTCGGTATGGGAGAGAGAGACAGCTACGTCGGTGATGAGGCTCAGTCCAAGAGAGGCATCCTCACCCTGAGTTACCCCATTGAGCACGGTATCGTCACCAACTGGGACGACATGGAGAAGATCTGGCATCACACCTTCTACAACGAGCTTCGTGTGGCTCCAGAGGAGCACCCCGTCCTCCTGACAGAGGCTCCCCTCAATCCCAAAGTCAACCGTGAAAAGATGACCCAGATCATGTTCGAGACCTTCAACACTCCAGCTATGTATTTGGCCAACCAGGCAGTTCTGTCTCTGCTCGCTTCTGGTCGTACCACGGGTATTGTTTTGGACTCTGGTGATGGGGTCACCCACACTGTACCTATCTATGAAGGCTTCGCCCTTCCTCATGCTATTCTCAGGATGGACCTTGGTGGCCGTGATCTCACTGATTACCTTACGAAGATTCTGACAGAGCGTGGCTACTCCTTCACCACCACTGCCGAGCGAAATATCGCCAGGGACATAAAGGAGAAACTGTGCTATGTTGCCCTCGACTTCGAGCAGGAGATGCAAACTGCTGCATCCTCTTCCTCACTGGAGAAGAGTTATGAGCTTCCTGACGGACAGGTCATCACCATTGGCAACGAGAGGTTCCGTTGTCCAGAGGCCCTCTTCGAGCCATCATTCTTGGGTATGGAATCTGCCGGTATCCACGAAATAATTTACAACTCCATTATGAAGTGTGATGTTGATATTCGTAAAGATTTATATGCCAACACTGTTCTCTCCGGAGGTAGCACCATGTTCCCAGGAATCGCTGACAGAATGCAGAAGGAGATCACAGCCCTGGCACCAGCATCAGTGAAGATCAAGGTCATCGCCCCTCCAGAGAGAAAATACTCCGTCTGGATCGGTGGCTCCATCCTTGCCTTCCGTTTGACCACCCAGAGGAGGTGGATCAGCAAGCAGGAGTACGATGAGTCCGGCCCTTCCATTGTCCACAGTAAGGTCGATTAGTGCCTGGCACTGCAGCTCCATACGATGGTGACATTGAAGAGACCACATTCAGTCATTTAGAAGACCACTATTTCGTATTCTAGTCGCTGGAGCTGTGTTGTCATTGAAATGACAAAATTCCCGGTTTCATGGGCTCTCCATAAAGTTTTGATCTTTTAAATATTTTATCACGTGTTTCCTTTCTCACTGGGTATTGATATCTTGCGTTGTGTCTTTTATATGGTTTTACTCTCTTGGATCTAGTATGGTAAAAGAGTAGAGAGCGAGACGACCGGTTTCATGCAGTATTCACTGCAGCTGACTTCATGGAACGGGTTGCCTGTATCCGTCAGCCAATAAAGCTATGTTAAGAAAGCACAAGCTAAAAAGGATACCTAGAGTAATTATGCCTAACTGTTTCGGTCTATCAGTACGTATCAGTACGCGAGCAACAAACTATTTGTGATAATTACAGTACATATCGCCATGCACAATGTATGTTGGTAGCGCACCAAAAGGTTCAGTTGGAGATTTCATCAGCATAAGCACGTCGAATGTTTTGAAGCGAGACTTAAAGATCTGAAGGGAGCTTGAAGATTTAACGTCAAGAGGAACACAGTTACCCTCGTGTGTTGCTGCAAAAACAAAGGCGAGTTGACCACGACCGAGAAGGTTTAACTTCTGGTACATAGAGACGCTGACGACAGTGCGATCTCATGTTGCGTGAAGAAGGATAGTCCCTCAAATAGCAAGGTGCAGTACCGATTAACACTGGAAAGTTAAACTTAGAACAGTGAATACAATTCTGTATTGTAGAAGAAGCCAATGAAAGCTCATAATAACTAGACAGAGAGAGTGACAATCCTGGCTGCAGAAATCTGGACACGTTGTAGTCTGTTAACGATGTTAGAAACATCAGAAAGAAAACTATTTTAGGGTAATGGTGATTTCAGTCGTGTATTTTTCAGAAAGACACAGATCATATGGAGCTCTGATTGCTTCCAGTATTGAACTGTGATGTCTGTGATTTTCATATTTTAGTTGTTTATTACTTCTAAAGTGAAAACGGTATATATTCTTGTTCTCTACTTGACACCCACACACTGTCAAAGTAGGCACATCTTATCGCAATAAAACACACTTTTGTCTAACTATCTCAATATATTTTTATTCATATTTAAAAGAATCTCGATGTCATATGAAACTTAAAGCAATGTGTTTTTCCCCACTGGGCTGAAGATGCGACCCCCCAGGGACACTGCTCGGACCAGAGTAGCAACCGAGGTAATCTAGCTAACCTACCAGGTGCAGACTATTCTAGCGATGATTTCTCCTTCTAAAACTGGAATATTGGGGGTCTTTTTTCAAACCTCGATGATGCAGACTTTATTAGTTATATAATGAAACGAATTTTGGCATAGTTTGTCTGACTGAAACCTTTCTTGAAAACCTGGCATCCATCTGGTATCCATCTGGTATCCATATGGTACCCATCTGGTATCGATCTGGTATCCATCTGGTATCCATCTGGTATCGATCTGGTATCCTTCTGGTATCGATCTGGTATCCATCTGGTATAGATCTGGTATCCATCTGGTATCCATCTGGTATCCATCTGGTATCCATCTGGTATCCATCTGGTATAGATCTGGTATCCATCTGGTATCCATCTGGTATCCATCTGGTATCCATCTGGTATCCATCAGTTATCCATCTGGTATCCGTCTGGTATCCATCTGGTATCCATCTGGTATCCATCTGGTATCCGTCTGGTATCGATCTGGTATCGATCTGGTATCTATCAGGTATCCATCTGGTATCCATCTGGTTTCTATCCTACATCAGACTGCCTAAGGGTGTTAGATTATCTGGCTGTGTAAACGTGCTGATGAACAATTCAGTAGCTGCTTACTGTCAACAGGTGTCAGTTGTTTTTCATAATGTGGTATGATCAAATCTGTACATCGCTAGTACATTTTTGTGGCGATATCATCTTAAAAGCAATGTATGTTTCCCCCACTGGCTCAACGTTGCATGCAACAGGAGACAACGCAACAACAGTCGAGGTAGTAGATCAGTGGCTGATAGAACATTCAGTCACGAACTGTGAGGTCATACTGTGCGGTGACAGGAACGCAAGGACGTGGTTTGAACACAACAACAACTTATTGCAAACGACACACCTTTGATGAAATCTCAGAACATAAATATGATGTTTTCCGTAACAGCGACAGTCTACCCGGAACAACGATAGTTGACTGTGTGACCGTGTGTGTTATATCTAGGGCTGCCGGACTGTATACCAGTGGCAGTGTCAATGGCACATCAATAGGCGACTATGTGACCGTGTGTGTTATATCTAGAGCTGCCAGGCTGTGTAACAGTGACAGTCTCCTTGGCACTTCAATAGGCGACTATGTGACCGTGTGTGTTATATCTAGGGCTGCCAGGCTGTGTAACAGTGACAATTTCCTTGGCACTTCAATAGGCGACTATGTGACCGTGTGTGTTATATCTAGGGCTGCCGGGCTGTGTAACATTGTTAGACTCCATTGCACATCAATAGGCGACTATGTGACCGTGTGTGTTATATCTAGGGCTGCCGGGCTGGGTAACAGTGACAGTCTCCATGGCACTTCAATAGGCGACTATGTGACCGTGTGTGTTATATCTAGGTCTGCCGGGCTGGGTAACAGTGACAGTCTCCATGGCACTTCAATAGGGGACTATGTGACCGTGTGTGTTATATCTAAGGCTGCCGGACTGTATACCAGTGGCAGTGTCAATAGCACAGCAATAGGCGACTATGTGGCCGTGTATGTTATATCTTGGGCTGCCGGACTGTATACCAGTGACAGTCTCCATGGCACATCAATAGGCAACTATGTGACCGTGTGTGTTATATCTAGGGCTGCCGGGCTGTGTAACAGTGACAGTGTCAATGGCACATCAATAGGCGACTATGTGACCGTGTGTGTTATATCTAAGGCTGCCGGACTGTATACCAGTGGCAGTGTCAATAGCACAGCAATAGGCGACTATGTGGCCGTGTATGTTATATCTAGGGCTGCCGGGCTGTGTAACAGTGACAGTGTCAATGGCACATCAATAGGCGACTATGTGACCGTGTGTGTTATATCTAGAGCTGTCGGGATGTTTAACATTGTTAGACTCCATTGCACATCAATAGGCGACTATGTGGCCCTGGTTGTTATATCTAGAGCTGCAGGCTATGTAACAGTGACAACGCTCACGACAGCTGACTGTGTAACCTTTAAGACAGTCATACAGCGCAATAATTACTGGTTGTGACAGTAACTGAGAGTGTTTTCGTCTTAACTGTTTGACAATGTACTGATACAGTCTCCCAGGTACCAAGGTCTGCTGTTTGCCCGTGTCTTGTCACAGCGTGTAAAGAACATTTGAGACTGACGGAAGAGTAAACGGACAACGGACATGCAGTCAGACGCATATACACACATCCTGATGAATCAGGTTGTACAGAATCCGTTGTACGCCCACCCAACTCCTCTCCAGTAGAACTGGTACCGTGGATAGTGAGGTATACTGTACGGTATTGTGTATTCACGGCTATATGGCTATATAGTTCGGTATGTGTCGCACCTGTAACGTCAGTTGTTTTATACAAGTGGACACGTACAGTACAACCAGAAATTATTGAGAATTTAAGATTGTAATTTTCTTTTAAATTTTCACTCATTACTCACGTATTAAATGTGAATATTAGCAGAACATAACTCCAGATTCAAAGACAGGTGAACAGTTAGCATTTTGTCAAGTCACCATAGGCAGCAATGCAGGCTTCAATGCGGCGGGGCATACTACTGATCAAAGAAGTTAGAAAGTCGTGGTCCATGCTGTCCCAATATCGGACCACCTCTTCTTTCATTTCAGCAATATTTGTCAGATTTTTCTTATTGACATTTTCCTTCATAAGTTCCCAAACATTTTCTATTGGATTTAGGTCAGGGATATACCTTGGCCAATCTAATAATGTCATATTTTGGGTCCGAAACCAGGCCTGTGAATGCTTTGAACGATGTTTTGGGTCGTTGCCCTGCTGGAAAATCCACAAATGTCCATAGAACTGGTGATCAGATGGAAGTAAATGTCCCTCGAGAATATCTGTGTACCGCTCACTGTTCATATTCCCTTCAAATACACAGAGGGGCGTTGCCCCTAACACAGATATGCCACCCCACCCGTTAAATTTAGGACTATACTTTGGGCGCTGATACAAAGGTTTTTCAGTTTGTTTGGTCCAGGATTTCAGTGTATTAGGAAACAGCCATACAGAACTTTCATCTGAGAAAATCACATTGTCCCAGTTAAAATTTCTATGCTGTAAGCACCAGTTCAACCTTCGCTCCTTTTGTTCAGGTTTCATGATTGGTGATGGAATTCCTCGACTTTTCTGCCAAACCATTGCATGCAGCTCAGTTCTAATTGTCTCCTTACAGACAGCCACAGTTCCTCTATCAATCATATCCAGCCTTAAGTTTTCTAAACAGTCCTAGGCCAAATGTTAGAAAAGTCCCTATCTTTTAGGATCTCTCAGCAGTAGTAAAAGCGTTATCCAGTAATTGGTATGACAACTCCCACCTCCAGAGATTTACTAAAACAAACAAGGTTTACCCCGCTGTTGAAACAGTGTCCACATGTTCATAGAACAACTTCATGAGTATTAACCGCAGGGGACGATGACAAGCACTGATCTTCAACATGATCAGGATATGCAGTATGGGTGATAAGGCCTGGTGTATCATATTACCTGATAATGATGTTATCTCTAAATTTGGCCTAGGAGTATAAACTACTTCGTTTGTTTTCAGAAACAAGAATACCAAGCCGCCTCCTGTCACCGACAGTCAATTTTCTGGGCCTACCTGCGCCTCCCTGGTTCTCAATGCCATATCCATTTGCAATATTTTTCAAAACACGATAAACAGTGGACAAAAGGGATGCCTGTTCTACTTGAAATCACTTAAGCTGATCTTATGTCCTTGTTATTATACTCTAAAATCAACTTCCTCTTCTCGAAATCATCCATACTGAGGATCACTGAAAATGTCGTCTGATAGCAAGTAAACACAGGGGAATAACTCTTTACAAACTAATGAAAAAACATTAACGGAATGAAACCAAGCACTTGATAGCTGGTCAAGGTTTTTTATACTAGAAATTGAATTAAACATATTCCTAAAATTCTCAATAATTTCTGGTCATACTGTATATCAATAGCACCCTAACAGTGTTAATCTCAAAGGGATATAATACTTTATATTGATATTTTGTATAAGTTGGGTAAATGTTTGAGCCCAATGCTGCCTTAAATAGTCATATTATGAAAGGTTGTTGTGGGCGACGCCCTGATATTGTGGACATGTAGACGTGTCTTCAATTTTCCTAAGGAAACATGCGTGTGTTTCCCGCAACACTAGACGTTCCCCGAGAGAGCCTAATTGTATACCCCACCAAAGCCTGTGAATGTATGTGTAGCCGTCCTTTAGTGTCTGCATTCCCTGTAAAGTGATACATTTACCACTTTGGTATCCAAACCCGCCTGTCAAGGTTAACACATTCCTCACAGTAGTGAACACGTCTTATTACTCTCAGCCAAAATGTGCGACGAAGGTGTTGCCGCCCTGGTTATCGACAACGGCTCCGGCATGTGTAAGGCTGGGTTCGCCGGTGACGACGCCCCAAGAGCTGTCTTCCCCTCCATCGTCGGTCGCAGCCCCCGCCAGGTAATTGATGTTTGTTAAGGTTCTTTGACTGTTCACTGGAGGAAAACCTCGTTCATACGGACGGTAGGGTTCCGAGTAAAGTCGTACTGTCATATGAATGAATGAATGAATGATCCAGAGATGTCCGAGGATCTTAAATCATCGTAATTATGTTACTAAATAATTCATAAATAAGATAATCAAACATATATATAGGACCGGAACAATGATTCTCACATAACACAGGTTCGGGATATCCTTTAGTATATATACTGAATTCTATTACAGAAAGAAATCCCCCCCCCCCCCCCGTCATTTCATCCGTATAATTGTTTTTCTTAAGTGCCATTTAGGACCTACTGTGATGAAGAGGAACACTTTATGGATAGATACTTCTTTATCGCAATAGGTGCGACGTTTCGGTGTAGATTCCAACACAGTTATCACGCAAATACTTGAGTTGTCTATCCATTAAGTGTTCCTCTTCTCTTCCATCATCTCTATTGTAACATAAATTTCGATACCAAGGATGACAAGGTACTCATCAGCATTAGCAAACATTCATTATTTTGTACATTCCTTAGATATTTTGAATCCTTATTACATATACTCAATGTTTACTCTCAATTCTGTGTATAATATTACCATCCTTATTATTAGGTTATTATTAGGAATATTTGGTTTTGACACGCCATGTTTTATGGCATTCGTCTTTGAAGGGGCGTAGGTAATAATGTTAGCATGGCATTTCAGATTTCACTTGGTAGCAAGTCATGTTCCATGTCCTGTATCGTGATCTTTAGTGACTTTATTTCTTGTCGGTCCAGTCTCAATTAAGTCTGAGTATATATGTCATGTCAATTTATTCCAGGGAAATAGTTACCACGTCGGTGACGAAGCTCGCTCAAGGCACTATGCTCGCAAATTCACATACCCTGTCTCGCACGGTATTGTAACCAACTGGGACGACATGGAGAAGATCTGGCATCACACATTCGAAAAGCTCGAAGTGAATCCTGGGGAACATCCCGTTCTCCTGACAGAGGCTCCTCTCAACCCTAAGGCCAACCGTGAAAAAATGACCCAGATCATGTTCGAAGCCTTCAATTCTCCAGCTATGTATGTGGCCATTCAGGCCGTTCTTTCTCTGCACGCTTCCGGTCGTGCGACGGGTATTGTTTTGGACTCTGGTGATGGTGTCACCCACACTGTTCCCATCTATGAGGGATATGCCTTACCACACGCCACCATGGAACTTGACATTGCTGGTAGCGATCTCACTGATTACTTGATGATGATTCTCACAGAGCGCGGTTACTCCTTCACCATCGCCGAGCGAAATATCGTCAGGGACATCAAGGAGAAGCTGGCCTATGTCGCCCTCGACTTCGAGCAGGAGATGGCTACAGCTTCCACTTCTTCCTCCCTGGAGAAGAGCTACGAGCTTCCCGACGGTCAGGTCATCACTATTGGCAACGAGAGGTTCCGTTGTCCAGAGATCCTCTTCCAGCCATCCTTCTTGGGTATGGAATCAACCGGTATCCCCGAAACAACATTCAACTCCATTATGAAGTGTGATGTTGATATTCGTAAGGTCTTGTATGCCAACACTGTTCTCTCAGGAGGTAGCACCTTGTGCTCAGGTATCGCTGACCGAATGCAGAAGGAGATCACAGACCTTGCTCCCAGCACAATGAAGATCAAGGTCATCGCTCCTCCAGAGAGGAAATACTCCGTCTGGATCGGTGGCTCCATCCTTGCCTCTCTGTCCACCTTCCAGCAGATGTGGATCAGCAAGCAGGAGTATGCTGAGTCTGGCCCATCCATTGTTCACAGAAAGTGTTTTTAGTGACTGACTTAGAATACAATGGTGACACCTTTATTCACCGTCATGGACAATATTAGTTGTTATTCGGATCGTAAAGGAAGGTAAAGGGAAGAAAAATAAACTTTCAATTACAACAGATGTATTGCACGAATGGGGGATATGAGCTTATCACTGATTATTAGATGTATTAAATAGGTCAGCTCTATTATCGAAGTGACAAAATGTAGACATTCTTTCTTGAATCCTGTGAACAGTGTAATCTGATGCAACTGAGGCTACAGTGAGCACAATTTTGGTACAAATCAGGAAATGATTTATTTATATCAGTGATGTCAATGTGCCGCAATATAATGTCAGTTTATGTGAGGCGTAGCATGTCACATGAATGAATTTAGCCCGAATATGTTGCATAAATGTATCAAGTACAGAATAATGAAAGCAACTGTAAATCGATTTGGGAAAACTATTTGAATATGTCTTGTATTAATTATTATTGTTTGTGATTATTTCAGAAAACCTGAAACATATATACAATGAAAGGGTTTATATCTTCATACGATGCATATATAGCCAAGACTGGGTCATATATCAAAAGTAGTTGCAATGCAACGTAGATAAATCTGAATGAGGTCAGGTCTAGTGTCTTACCATTGGTTTACATTGGCTGAGGACTGGTGCATAAGGAAAGTGTGAAGCTTGCTCACTGGCTGCCTTTAACCCAGCCTGGTGGTTTAAAGGCCATGACTGGATGGTGTTAAATTGGTGAATTACAGGTCCAATATGGTTTTTGATGCCTCATAACATGTCGCAAGTTAGAAGCAAATTATCCAATAGTTGAGTAACATGTAAAACAGTCTATTACTTCAGTGTAGTAATAAAACGGACCCCCCTTAACGAAGTTTTTAGGACCAAGTGCCATCCCCGTTACATAAATACTGTTTGGTGTTATAAAACCCCATTAATGACATACCCACTCGTGCCTCAAGACCACAAGGGATTTATCACAATGCATCCCCAAATATATTTAGTAAATGTTGGAATCTTCGAATAATAATTTGGTTCCATTGAAAGGAATTGGTGAATATCACAGCATATGACGAACAAACAGATTTTAGGCCCCGAACTGCAACAACGGAACAGTTTTTCAAACTTACTGCTTGTCTTCAAACATGCTTAGTATTCGAATCTGTGGATAGGTGCATGTTTATGTCAACCACTGAAGACAAACTTCTGAAACTGGCGCCACCAATGATCTTTCCAAGACTTACTTCCCTTGCTACATGCTTTTTGATCTTGAACATACACAGTTATGGGCCTTGATCTCTACAGAAAGTGATCGATGTAAATTTACTCAGTGCATAGAGTCGGAAAGGGGACACTACTGAATTTGCATGAAGTTACTCAAGGCTGAGTTTGAAATAGGGTGTCCTACATAATATTTACAGAGCTGGTTTCAACAAAGCATAAAATAACGCAATCTTCGGGCTTTTGTTTTGACTAAAATCTTGTGAAGCGCAAATGAGAACTGGGCCCCGTTCCTCAAAGCGACCGTAACCCTAAGACGACCGTAACTCCTACACTTTAACATAGACTTACGACACTCGTTGCACTACAATCGCCTTGTAGAACGAGGCCCAGGTCCTTATAAGTTTAATGTATTTTTTTCGTACAAGTCCACATAATAGGATCGGGTGGTCAGGCTTGTTGTCCCTTTGGTTCCTTGACATGGTAATCTCATGTACAGAATCATCACCACCGAGAAAAAGGAACTATTTTACCAGTTAGAATAATAACCGACAACCGTATTTCCGTCTGTCAAATTAGGGGTTTATATATAAGCGCATTAACTTTACATTCACGTATCAGGAAACAGATTGTTTAATGCTGTGTATATAAAGTAAAACCCCACAACATTTCTCTATGTTCATCGAGATATTTCTTTCGAATATGAAATAGAAACAAGTTAAGGTGGATATTTTCTGATGAGGAATGTTTTATTTAGAAAACAAGTACCCACTTTGACACAATGTCTCTGTCAAGCAGGACTAGAATATTTACCAGTCTTACAATAGACATACACTGCAAAATGTGAAAATAATTTTTTTAGAGTTGAATGCAGTCAAAGCTCCCCCTAAGTTACGTGTTTGTATAATTGTGCAACACAAATAACAAATAACTAAGAAACGTTGTGTTGCTTGCATGTAAAACGATGCAATTACTCATACGGGGCATGTCGGTTTCAGCTTGTGTAACTGTAGTTTGTGGTACAACTCTGTATATACTGACGAGACATGTCGGTTTCAGCTTGTGTAACTGTAGTTCGTGGTACAACTTTGTATATACTAACGATTGCATGAAACATACAGCATGCACAACGCACAAAACAACGCACGTTCTTTGTAACTATTCCAAGTAGACAATAGAATAGAATTGACGCAAGATATGTAATATATAATAAATAAGCCAAGAAAATGTATCAATGCCAAAAGAAGAAAACAACATTGGAATAATACACAAACGCTCGACAACCATTATCAGGATAACTGAAGCAATCATTATGTATTTTGTAATTTCAGTCACAACACATTTCTGACGATGAGAAGGACAATTATACACTTTGGCCTTTAGGTGATTAATAGTGATTCTTTAATGTTACTGTCTATGCAATATCAGTCACTAAAAACACTTTCTGTGTACAATGGATGGGCCGGACTCATCGTACTCCTGCTTGCTGATCCACATCTGCTGGAAGGTGGACAGAGAGGCAAGGATGGAGCCACCGATCCAGACGGAGTATTTCCTCTCTGGAGGAGCGATGACCTTGATCTTCATTGATGCTGGTGCAAGGGCAGTGATCTCCTTCTGCATTCTGTCAGCGATTCCTGGGTACATGGTGCTACCTCCCGAAAGTACAGTGTTGGCATACAAGTCCTTACGGATATCAACATCACACTTCATGATGCAATTGTATGTTGTTTCGTGGATACCGGCTGATTCCATACCCAAGAAGGATGGCTGGTAGAGGGCCTCTGGACAACGGAACCTCTCGTTGCCAATGGTGATGACCTGACCGTCGGGAAGCTCGTAGCTCTTCTCCAGTGAGGAAGAAGTGGAAGCTGTAGCCATCTCCTGCTCGAAGTCGAGGGCGACATAGGCCAGCTTCTCCTTGATGTCCCTGACGATTTCTCGTTCGGCAGTGGTGGTGAAGGAGTAGCCACGCTCTGTCAGGATCTTCATCATGTAATCAGTGAGATCACGACCAGCAAGGTCCAGTCTCATTATGGCATGGGGAAGGGCGTAGCCCTCATAGATGGGAACAGTGTGGGTGACACCATCACCAGAGTCCAAAACAATACCTGTCGTACGACCAGAAGCGTACAGAGAAAGAACAGCCTGGATGGCCACATACATAGCTGGAGAGTTGAAGGTCTCGAACATGATCTGCGTCATCTTTTCACGGTTGGCTTTGGGGTTGAGGGGAGCCTCTGTCAGGAGGACGGGGTGCTCCTCGGGAGCCACACGGAGCTCGTTGTAGAAGGTGTGATGCCAGATCTTCTCCATGTCGTCCCAGTTGGTGACGATACCGTGCTCGATGGGGTACTTGAGGGTGAGGATACCTCTCTTGGACTGAGCCTCGTCACCGACGTAGCTGTCTTTCTGTCCCATACCGACCATCACACCCTGGAAAAAATGAGATAACATTTTCTGTACCATTATCTCTTTTCAAGTTGTCTTATAAATGTCACAGTAATACAAAGAACTCAATATTGGCCAGAATAGTTATATGCCGGTTTTAGCAATGTTCCCAACCCATTACGTGAACCAAGGGTGGTGGGACTAGCCAATGTTTTTACCAATAACCGTTCTCTCGTCTGACTTCAAAACACATGCTTAATGTCTATTGTTATCTCCTATCATAGCTAGGATGCTGAATGTCTATTGTTATCTCCCGTCATATCTAGGGTGCTATCACAGGTTAACTCAAGCTTTATCAAGCCGTTTTCTCACCCGTGAAGGTCCGGGTTATAATCGATCTTCAGTAACCCATGCGTGTCGTAAGAGGCGACTAACGGGATCGGGATTGCGTATATTGATGTTCATGCTGTTGATCCCTGGATTGTATGGTCCAGACTCGATTATTTACAGACCGCCGCCATATAGCTGGAATATTGCAGAGAGCGGCGTAAAACTAAACTCACTCCGTTTATTATAACATAGTATCAAACCAGTTTTTCATTACATATTCACACACAAAAGCATTTTAGAACATAACGTTTGTCTTTGATTTCGGTAAAACTTGTTTCAGCATATCCCTGCGATAACTGTGTATGCATGTCTGACGATTTCCATATCCATATTTGGACATAAAACTTGAAACACATTGACTGGGCTGAGGCTTTTGTACCCGTTATGTTTGTAATACAAATGCCAAGCGGATCACTGCGTGAACAAACACATACCCCCTTCAATAACACTGGGAGTGTTAGTCGATAAACATTTGTAGCTGTATAGTTTGCAGAGAGTCTTTGGGATTCATGCGTCTATTCATTAAATAAGATCGGCATGCTCTGAATAATTCCCGCCTTTCAATTCCCGCTCAGAAATCCGATCTACCGGCTCGTCCCACGATCTTTTGGAGGAATCAAACTATGCAGGGATTGGTGCAATATCAAGCGGGAAGTGCACAGCCTGTGTATCCATATAGAAGACAAAGCACACGGGTGCCCTTTCCTTTCTACGTTTAACCTTTGTTACAGTTCAAAATGTTTCAGTGTTTGTCTTTGTATAGATACCTGAATGAGGTTTGATACTATTTTGGGAGGGCCAGGTGCTGACGCTACAGCAGAACACACTTACAACATTTTGTGTTCGTGAACGTCACTTAACGTTTATACCAATACAGTCACACCTAACTAATCATATACAGTAACACCTAACCAAAACAAACCCCTCACTCGGGGAACCTCATTTCTCTTCATTTACAAAGAGTGAGTGAGTGAGTTTAGTTTTACGCCTCACTCAGCAATATTCCAGCTATATGGCGGCTGTCTGTAAATAATCGAGTCTGGACAAGATCATTGACCATTGATCAACAGTATGAGCATCGATCTACGCATTGGGATACGATGAGATGTGTCAACCAAGTCAGCGAGCCTGACCACCCGATCCCGTTAGTCGCCTCTTACGACAAGTATGGGTTACTGAAGACTAATTCTAACCCAGATCTTCACGGGTAGTTAGGCTAGAGTCCAACAACCATCGCAAACATCATAGAATAATTACCTGATGTCGTGGGCGGCCCACGATGGAGGGGAAGACAGCTCTTGGGGCGTCATCACCGGCGAACCCAGCCTTACACATGCCGGAGCCGTTGTCGATAACCAACGCAGCAACATCTTCGTCACACATTTTGGCAGAAAGATATGAGACGTGTATCACCACTTTCTTCTGTAACGCTGACTGCACCGGTTCAGACGGGCGGGTTTATATACCTCTATTTTGTCAATGAATCACCTGATATGGCATTCAATAGATCGGCAACGTGGTGTGTTAGGTGACGAGCTTCAGAACACACAGTCATATGTTCTCGCCATGTATGGGAACGGCCATTATGATGTATCCACCCATGTGACACAATCCACCCACGAACAAGTTGCGTCACTTAGATAACCAGGATATGTGGTCGTGGTTTAGAATTCTCGATCTGGTTCTAGGACACGTGTCATGATAACCTCACACAGTAATCTAAATATTCGAGCTGTTACTGAAGTAATCTAATTACACCGCTGTACACAGTACACTTGCCCGGAGAGCGAAAGTGCGCTGGTTCCATCCCCAACCAGTGAACATTTTAACCAACATGTATTGCTTTACCGATAACTTACGCAATAGCAACAACGGCACTTTATCAAGACGGGACGGTGTGTGTGTGTGTGTGTGTGTGTGTGTGTGTGTGTGTGTGTGTGTGTGTGTGTGTGTGTGTGTGTGTGTGTGTGTGTGTGTGTGTGTGTGTGTGTGTGTGTGTGTGTGTGTGTGTGTGTGTGTGTGTGTGTGTGTGTGTGTGTGTGTGTGTGTGGTGTGTCACCAGTAATGGGCTTCACACATTGCACCCACGTGAGGAATCGAACCCGGGGCGTAACGGTTTAACCACTAAGCTTTCCCAGTGATTTATTGGCACTGAATCAAGACTGAACACGAAATCACTATCCCCTAACACGAGGCATACTACAGTTATGTTTGTTCTTATGTGGATATAAATGTTGATCTGAGTTGTGTCAGAGGAGACAGACAGGCACTAGGGTCGCTTTATGTCAGCAGAAATGGGAAATAAAAACAAGGTCCCACTTTTCAAATATTCTGTTTGTGTGTTGTTTTACGCCGCTGTCAATATTCCAGCTATATGGCGGCAGTCTGTAAATAATCAGACAATCCAGGGATCAACAGCATGAGCATCGATCTACGCAACTGGGATACGATTTCATGTCAACTAAGTCAGCGAGCCTGACCACCCGATAATGTTAGTCGCATTTTATGACAAGCATGTGTTGCTGAATACCAATTCTAACCCGGATCTTCATGTGTCTGAAATATTCCGTATGAAACCCCATTTCAAACTTAGCCTTGAGTAACGTCATGTAATTTCAGTAGATTTTCCCCATTCCGACACTATCGTCATTCAGAACCGGTGCTGATCGTTATTCAATGTTTACAGTCATAGCTTCCCTGGCACAGTGATAGCCGGTTGTATTACTGTGGGTGTACGTATTATCTCTGTCTGTCGGACATTGTAACAGTGAGAGTCTCCCTGGCACAACAATATCCGACTGTGTGACTGTGGGTGTGTGTATTATCTCTGTCTGTCGGACATTGTAACAGTGAGAGTCTCCCTGGCACAACAATAGCCGACAGTGTGACTGTGGATGTATTATCTCTGTCTGTCGGACATTGTAACAGTGAGAGTCTCCCTGGCACAACAATAGCCGACAGTGTGACTGTGGGTGTGTGTATTATCTCTGTCTGTAGACATTATAACAGTGAGAGTCTCCCTGGCACAACAATAGCCGACAGTGTGACTGTGGGTGTGTGTATTATCTCTGTCTGTAGACATTATAACAGTGAGAGTCTCCCTGGCACAACAATAGCCGACTGTGTGACTGTGGGTGTGTGTATTATCTCTGTCTGTCGGACATTGTAACAGTGAGAGTCTCCCTGGCACAACAATAGCCGACTGTGTGACTGTGGGTGTATTATCTCTGTCTGTCGGACATTGTAACAGTGAGAGTCTCCCTGGCACAACAATAGCCGACTGTGTGACTGTGGGTGTGTGTATTATCTCTGTCTGTCGGACATTGTAACAGTGAGAGTCTCCTGGCACAACAAAAGCCGACAGTGTGACTGTGGGTGTATTATCTCTGTCGGTCGGTACGCAGAGTAACAGTGACTGTCATTTGTATCATGCACAGACATTCTCACGCAATTTTGAACGACAAAGGGAGGTAATCACTGAATACCCGTGAAGCAAATGTATTATTAAGGTTTGTTGGCCAAGCGGACTTCCTGCTCAGTAAATAAGACAAAATACACAAACCAATCAACGGATTGTTTATTCAAGGTTTATTGGCCAAGCGGACTTCCTGCTCAGTCCGGATTATAAAGCAACTACGTGTAACTACCTTTTCGGGCCGACACTTTGGTCCGAAATCCGAAATAATGAGAGTTCGAGATACAGAGCTTTTTCATTATGACAACAAAAAAGGATTACGTTGGGACAGTTAGTTCAGTCCGGTTTATACAGCAATCCGAGAAAGACAGAGTCCGAGTTGGACAGAGTGCATTGTATATGTTATTTTAAGATACCTCTATTAGTTCCTTACCAAGGAGGATAAACATAGCTAGCTTTCCCAGAACAGAAGGATGTTTTGAAGACATTTCAATGTTAAATTTAGTATCGTGTCTAACAAGAGTACCACCTTTTTAAACCAATAAAAAACCCAACAAGTTTCACATTATCCAACATTCCTGTCACGGAATAATCATTACACCACTGTTCTAAAACTTCAATACACCTTTTAAGACTGTCTCTGAAGTTACATCTGGATGAACCTGAATTCAAGTACTCAATCTGATATACATTAATAAACATTGCGAAAGACAGATGACTTATTACACTGCCTTGCCTAACACCGAGGCCGAACTTTCACACAAACACACACTATTGATATACGCGCTGGAGACATTTAACCATTATGTGTTCAATCGCTTTTTATTAAAAGTCTCCATTATATTGACCTATTAATGGAATCAAAATCTTTATAAGAATTTATGAATAAGGTGCACATTTTACCTCGTTTCTTTGTAAAATATCACTCAATTACAGACAGTACAATAAACATATTACTGTGGAATATCAACTGCTGTTATCATGTGCATCATAACAAAAATTGCAATGATATCTCTTTGAAGCAATGTATTGTTACGGTTAATAATTTGCCGTGACAGTATGAAACATAAACTTTATTAAATATATTAGAATTGGTAAAAATGTAAAAATAAATCAATATCCTGCCCTTATTTCCTGATAAGAAAGGCATATGTGTTGTTAGGTAAGAACATAACGATACATCACAGCCTGATGCCATACCGCTCATGTAATACGTCTGTAATTATCACCCATAATATATTAGTACGAAATAAGCTGCATAAATATTGCTGACCAATACCCATTGATCAATGAAACTACCCAGCACGCCCCAGCCGGCATGTGTTGGGAGTCTGTGAGAGATTAGTCAGACAGAATCCTAAAAACGTATTTGATAATGTGGTGGGATTGTCAAAAATGAATCCGTATCGTACCCTAAACACATTTCGCGATTACATTCACATGTGTGTTGTTTCAGAGGTAAATAACGCGTTGTATTGTATTGATAGCAAAATGTGGTAAGGAGAAGACACAATGTGAATAATATTGTTTTGTCGGCTAATCCGTACATCAAAAGATGTGACTTTTTGCTTCATATATATTCAGCACTACAACAGGCATGATCATCATCAGTGACAAAATGAAATACTGCATGTATGCATAGATCTTTTTTTATGTATGACCTTGAGAGAATCGATTTGCTTTACTTCTTCATTCTTGCATATTGAATAAGCAATAATGGTGATAAGTAAAACAGGAAATACAACAGATGCTGCCTTTGAATGAACTGAAACGTCATGAACAGGTCATGAACACCCAGAAACCATCCACCACCTGTCAGCCTCATGAAATGCATCCGTGTACAGGCGAACTGAATATATACTGATGGTATCTACGCAGTCAAATGCTGCAAAAGGTGTACAGCATCATTGGTTTCTTCATGCTGTTACTTGCTCTTAGTTTAAGTTTTCAGCAAGCAACGGGTGGTATGTTCCGGACAGGCACGCCAGGAAGAAGTGAATGAATACAATGATATATACAACTACCGGTGTATATTATATAGAAACACCCATATGTTATTGTGGACTACATGTTAAGATTGTGAAGCCCTCTCCGGAATCAAAGAGGTCAAAGTCTGACGAAAAAATAGTTTTGAAGATATGCAACAGAGTGTGACAGAGCTGATGTTTAAAAACACTGGCACCCGCTCATGTACACTGGTATGTGCCCAATTACACACACATTCAGATGTTCCTACTCATGTACACTGATATGTGCCCAATTACACACACATTCAGATGCTCCTACACATGTACACTGATATGTGCCCAATTACACACACATACAGATGCCCCTACACATGTACACTGGTATGTGCCCAATTACACACACATTCAGATGCTCCTACACATGTCCACTGATATGTGCCCAATTACACACACATACAGATGCTCCTACACGTTTACACTGATATGTGCCCAAGTACACACACATACAGATGCTCCTACACATGTACACTGATATGTGCCCAATTATACACACATATAGATCCTCACACACATGTACACTGATATGTGCCCAATTACACACACATACAGATGCTCCTACACGTTTACACTGATATGTGCCCAATTACACACACATTCAGATGCTCCTACACATGTACACTGATATGTGTACAATCACATACACATATACAGTGAAGCCTCGTTAATCCGGACGGTTGCGTTTCTCAGTAAATTCGTCCGGATTGCGAATAGTCCGGACTACTGAATCGAGACCCAAGTTGCTTCCCTAACTATTACAAAAACGACACGAATCTAGATAAAACAAATAAGCATTTAATGTAAAGCTTAATTCATCACATCAATAATTTTACCGAGTGACATCCGCATGTTGATCCGACGTGTCTGATCACGTCCTTCCTCAGCACAGGAGGTAATGTCACAAACGATCTATTGTAGTATGCCTGAATGTCGAATTATTCCTACATCCATCGGTTGAATATGAGACGTGGTATTTAGTCACATTTGCCCAATTGTGACACACA